ATGATTACTAACTTGTAGTTTCCCTCTCTCGTTGTGGACAGGACAGTTCCCTTCTGCATGCAGAGGAACCATGTCCTTCACACTGCCACTTCTGTTCCCTTGCAAGTTTCACAAAATGTATTACAAGTACAAGTCTTGGTCATTGTGCACCAGCTTTTCCTGTTAATCCTAGCTTCTAAGGTATAGCATCACTGTATTACAGTGTGTCTCTTTCTGGGTTGAGAAGCTTTTAATTAGAAGAGCAAAGGTAATAAAACTTGAATGTTCATTTGGAGACAGTGAATAGTGGGAAGATTCAGTTTTCCATCCTAGAAGGATGCAAAGAAAGAGGAGGAAGACATTGCTAAGTATAAATGAAGAAAAGTAATCTTTCAAATTGCTGAAGCTTATACTTTTTTTTTTTTTTTAAACTAAACTAGTTTCAGCATTTCTCTTTTTGTTGAGAAATATTTTATGATGAGAAGGTGGAAATGAACTTTATGTAAAACCATTTCTTTCATTTAAAAATATTTTATATGTTGACCTCCTATTAAGTTCTTGTGGTACAAAATTAAGAAGAGATTCCAGGTTATGGATGACTGGGTTAATTTTCAGGTGATTGACATGTGACTGGCATCATTCCTCCTTCAGAAGAAGGGGATATGAGTGCAGGGTTGAGAATGAAGTCAGGAGATCTGGACTTCACTTTTGATTTATCTTCTGACTTCTGTGATCTTGATAGAGATTCCTATTTTGAGTTATAGTATCATAGAATGGCTTGGCTTGGAAGTGACCTAAAAGCCCACCCAGTTCAAACCCCCTGCCATGGGCGGAGCTGCCACCCAGCAGCTCAGGCTGCCCAGGGCCCCCTCTATCCTGGCCCTGTGTGCCTTCAGGAATGGGGCATCCACAGCTTCTCTGGGCAGCTGTGCCAGTGTCTCACCACACTTTGACTAAAGAATATCTTCCTAACATCTAACATAGATTTGCTCTCTTCTTTTAGTTTAAAGCCGTTACCCCTTTGCCCATCACTAGCACATCATGTAAAAAGTTAATCCCCCTCCTGCTTATAAGCTCCCTTTAAGTCCTGGAAGCCTTTCTTTGTAGGGGAGATGCTTCAGCCCTCTGATATCTTTGATATCTGATATCCTCCTCTGGACCTGCTCCAACAGCTTCACATCCTTCTTGTTCTGAGGGCCCCAGGCCTGGATGTGGTACTCCAAATGCAGCCTCATGAGGGCAGAGTAAAGGGGGACGATCGCACCCCTCTACCTGCTGTCTGCCCCTCTTTTAATGCAGCTCAGGATACAAACAGTTTTGGCTTATTTTGGCGATTTTTACTTTGGGGATCCTGCTTCATAGTCTGTAAGGAAAGTGATCCAAAAAGTAGTCCCGTTAAATTAAAAAAGGAAAGAAAAAATATAACTTCTGATCAGCTTAGAATGTACTCATACCCATATTTAGCTACTTACGTCTGGCTATGCTAACAATATTCAAAGAGCGTAATGGGAGACTTTTATGATATTGATGAAATGCTTTGTGACTCATGTATGAAAAGCACTGTTTATTATATAGAGGCTGCAAATATGTTCTTGTCCACCTGGCTTTGCTCAGAAGATAATTTTTTGCAGTCTGTGAAATCCAGTGCTGTTTATTACCTTTGAATAAAAAGCTATAGCTCTAGGTTTGTTTGTTTGTTTTTGACTGAATAAAAGGCTTCTACTTTTTTTCCTAAAACACTATAAGCTGCCAGTATGGACGAAGACCCCCCTTTAGCATATATGAATGTATTTTACTTGAATGCATGGAAAACTAATTGTTGGTGATATACAGTATGTCTGTGAGGCTACCTAAAGACTTTATGGCCTTTAGCGGGATCTGCTACATGTATTCTGTAAAATAATGTTCCTAGCAAACTGCAGTGGTATTTCATGCAGTTATTTTCAGGAGCCCTAGAGCAGAGGAATTCATTGTCTTTTTGTTCTCTTAAATATTTACAAGCAGCAAGTGCGTTTCACAGTAAGTGCTTGTTAAAGGGGGAAAAATAAACAGGTCATTTTAAGCTGTTATGGTAAGAATCACCATGTTTTTATCGATATCATCTGCATCTCAAGTAGTTTTGCAAGTATGTCCTCCAAAAACTGCATGAAATGAGAGGCCAGGAAGTTGCTGAGGTGAAGGAGAGGAATTGAGATAGAGTGTTTCAAGGATGAACTACCCTCAACCTTACACATGTATAAACCTCATCATTAAAAGTTGACAAGAGCTTATTTTTATAGATAGACAGTGGATTTAAACACGAAAATGCGATGCTTCTGGTACTTTTGGAATGATTAGACTAGTAAGCTTTTGTTTGTTTCAATCAGTGTTTGCAGCACTGTGAACTGTTGCTTGGTAAAGATTTTGGCAAAGAGTGGAAATGGGAGGGACTGTGCCTTTGGATCTGTTTCATTCTTTCCTGCTCCCGGGCCTCACTTTAAATAATCATTAATAGTGCGGCACATACATTCAGGATTTGCTGTGTTAACTTTGAACTTGAGCTGTGTTGTTTCAAAGTCTCTGAGCTAAGGGTATTGCTTTCTCACCAAACTGGAGTGGGGCTGTCAGTGACGTGGGTTTCCCCAGCTGACATTTGGTCCTCTCAATTGTAAAGGTCTGGTGGTAGTCCGGAAAAAAATGAGATTGCTTGTATGAAAAGGGCTTGGTTCCTTGCTAACCATTCCTAGTAACCCATTTCTAGTTTGTGAAAATAGAAAAACTGAAACACTGGTAAACTGCATTTGCTCCATTTGATGTTGTATGTACTTTGCATTGTGATACCAAGTTGCATTTTGGTAGCTCATTAACACTTGAACATTAGAGAGCCTTAGTTTGTACACACTTATGTTTGAAAACTCGATTTCTATCTGGAAGTGATGATTAGATAATATCAGGGCTACATTTCCAATTAGTCATATTGAGATTTTTGGAAAAAAAATGTAAGTATACTATATATGTAGTCTAGCAGGGAGGTTTTCTTAAAAGTTTGTGTTACTGAGAAGCCATTAATCTGTGAAAGAAAATCTGCACAGACTGGATTAGTTTATCTAGGACTTTATCTAGAAGATTAGACACAGTTGCTGTAGTTTGTGTACTGTCCCTCACAAAATGATCTTTTTGCTCTATATCAAAATGATCTTTTTGCTCTATATCAAAATGATCTTTTCTGCTTGAATGAATTTCTTTGTGCCTGTTAAAGAGGGGTAGTAGTGGGATCCTTTGGGTTCCCCAGTAAATATTTATGTAAAACATGTAAAGATGTTTGGAGTACTTCCATGTATAGCAGTGTTTACACAGAATCACAGAACTGTAGGGGTTGGAAGGGACCCCCTGCTAAACCAGCTTCTGCAGTAGTTTGCAGTATACTTTTATACTATACTATTATACGTGGTTGAGTAACAAACAGGAACACAAGTTACAAGAAGAACCTTAAAAGCAGAGGAAGAACAAGGAGTGAAAGGGCTTCAGTGTTCCAGAACAGTTCACAGTCTATGAAATAGTGTTGTACTGTGCATGTATTGGTAAGATAGGAAGAGAGAGGTGAGTGTATACAGTTGAAGCTGGGAGGATCAAGTGGAAACTACAATGTCTTCTGACACTCTAGGAAATTTCTGCAGCATTGCCTAGGAAACACAAAGTTACAGTCAGCAGCCCACACGTCTCACTGCTCCCAGTAACTTCGCATCTCGGAGAAATCCCCAGGGACCATTCAGAGCTGGACCGTGTGTTTGATGTGTCAAACAGTCTCAGTCCTCTGAACAAGGCTTTTACACAGAAATGCTTTCTTAAGCACGGCAGGCCTGTGACATCCTTGTTTTGATGTTGTGCTGCTTCCTCAGCAGTCGAATTTAGGCTTCTGAACCTCGCATCCTGTTTCCTCTGTGCCAATTACACCGAGTGGATGCTGACCAGAATTAGGGTTTTGCTTCAGATTGCATCTGTTGATGCTCAGTGTGGGATGTTAAGATAACTACTTTGTTACTAATCCCAAGAATTACAGGCTGACTTTCATGGTTATACCTATGTGTGTTTTCTTGAAGAGCAGATGCAACAATTAATTCTCTAGATTTCTATATTGATCAGACATATCAGTTTCCTTGTAAAGGAGTCTACAGATGAAAATGACTTTTGGTAGTGCTGCTGTGCAGTGCAAGCCTGCTGACTGTTTCTCAGTATCATTCAGGATGACTTCCAACCAATATCATGTTTCCACAGCACTCATTTTTCATCAGTATAAGTGTCAGATGCCATGTGGTTTGAACTGTTTTATGGGTTAGCCTCTTCTGAAAGAGAAGAAATTTAGGATATAGCGTTACATTTCTCATCTACAAAGGATTAGGTAAGACTGAAGGGTAGACTGCTTTGATTACCCCTAGTTTTTAAATGTTGACTTAGAGTGATTGTAGATAGAGAGTCCTTTAATTACTGTTTGTAGAACACTTTCTACATCTTTTAGATTTCTTTGCCACTCTTCTCACTTAAAATGGAATAAACAACTCACTTTCCATGCAGATGCCATTAATCTTTCAGGCTGTCCTGATGGTCCCAGAGAGTCAGTCAGTCCCTAGTGCTGGAACCTGCTTTCTGAAGATCTGAGAGCTGCACTGCCGATGCATCTGTTGTGTCCTATTACATGTTATAAAAACTAGCAGTAAATACTACGTTGACATAGCCACTAAGTGTAACACCCTTGCTGTTGGCTTTAAATGCCAAACTGACAAAGCGTTTCCTGCATAAGTTAAGAAATTCGGAAGTCCAGGAGGCATTCCACAGTGCTCAGTCACTGGTGTGATTTTCTTCCCTAGGAAGCAGCAGGATGCTGTAGTTGCAAGGTATCAGCACTGTGCTGAACGCTGTGGAGTGAATGTGCTGTAACTGATGTTTTTGTGTTATCTTCTTGGGAGAAACATTTATAAAGAAGGTATCTGAGTATCCAGTGTTAACAAGAGAAATTAATTCTGCTTTTCTTCTTGTCTCCTTAGGTCTCCAAAAGGTGGCATCCATAGTGAAGGATATATTTTGGAGGTAGAGTGCTGCTCCTCTGTAAACCAGCTTTCAGACAAGAAGGAGATACCTGATTTTATTAAGAAAGTGAGTAAAAAAAAACCAAACAAACAAAAAAAAACCTTAAAAACCAAAACACAATATGCCTTGTACTATAGTTACTGCTACTCATTGTGTCAGTCTGACAATAGGAGTGTATTTACATTTTGTGCAGTTGAAGCACTTCAACAGAATTTGGTGGTGTTTTGTAATTTTAAGTACTTGAAGGGCAGTTATGCTTAAAGAATGCATTATTGATCACACTATTATTAAAAAATGGTTTGTAGTATCACAGAAATGTGACCTGTCACAGATGATACCAACTAAGTTACATTGTAGAAAACAGTCCTGTGATGGCATAAACATCTTAAATTGAAACAGTATCATCATTTTCATTTTAGTGTTAAAATATTTGGTAGTACTATAGCTAGAAGTCCTATTAACTCCTAGAATCCCCCAGATTACTTAAGGTTTTTTTAGTATCATAATGTTTGCAGCTAGAGATGGTACTTGTAAACTAAAGCCCTTTGTCACTCTCAATTGTACTGCTTTCAATGAATTTCCATATACTGGGAAATTGAAAATAATCCTTAAATTCCCAATTTGTTTCCTTCTTTTAAAATTACTTTTGATGATTAAATATTCTACTAGACTGGAAATTAGCAGGCTTTGTCCATTTTCATGAAGACAGATTTGCTATGCGTGGTTCAGATTTTGCAGCATCTGTTGTGTCCTATTACATGTTATAAAAACTAGCAGTAAATACTATGTTGACATAGCCACCTGGTATAAGAATAGAGTGAGTAGGCATCCTCCCTCTTAGCTTTAATCCATTTTGCAGTGATAATAGTGAAGGTTTTGTAAAATAGACTTCAGCACAGGCTGTGTGAGTTCAGAAAGGGGCTCAGCTTGACAGACTACAGTCATGTTCAGTCTCTCCTTTTTACTGTGAATGGTAAAAACTGGTTTTAAAATAATGCTTGTATGACTATCTGATCATCATCATACTTACAGATTTTGATGTTGGAGCAAACTGAAGTTTTCTGAACACTTCCTGCTTTTCAAAAGTTTGATTCCAAATCTTATTTTCAGAGTTTATTACGTTATTGCATCTATGCTTAGGTCAAACTGGTGTAATTCGTATGTATTGGTTTCAAAATGTTTGATTTTACTCTTCAGTTCTTTAAGTCAAAGTATCTATCGCAGCAGGTAGCAAAATTTTTTGTCGTTCCAATTGAAAAGTCTTTGCATTTGAGTCTTCAGAAAGAGCTTGGCTAATGTCAAAACAAGATGACAACCCAGGAGTCGGCTTATTTCCATAAATATTCAGTTCTGAGACTTTTAAAATGCTTTTCTAGACATGGAGATGTTTCTGTTGGTAGAAGTCATTTGATTATGGGGTTATAAAGATGCCTTTTTGAGATATAATCATTTAAATTTTAATAGCTGGAATGTATACTTACTGTTTCTCTGTAGGCTGAGCATGTCGCTCATCCTCAGATGTTATTTGATGTAGAGGAATTTGAAGTTCTTTGAAGTTGTTGCTGTCAGATGTGTGCTGTGTCCGTGTCTATATCTGATTAAACACATTATGAAGGTCTCAACGCTTTTTTGTAAATACGACTCGGGAAACAGGACTTGTTTGGGAGTAGGAATTAATTGTCTTATTAACTAATTTGTCTGAGCAACAAAAACATCCCTTGCTCTTAAGGGTAAATAAAACAGATGTTTACAAACAAAATAAGTGAAAAAATAAAGGAAGTTCTTCAAAGAAAGTAGGAGCAAAAAGCTATTAGAGCAATTGCTTGCTTTCAAAAAAGAACAACTCTATAATTATTCTCAAACTATGGAATAGAGTTGAAGTTAATAGTGTGTTATAATTGAGTAGTCAAACCTTGATCACAGACCTTTTGTAAGAGGAGCTTTTAGCACAGGTTTGCAATCATGTGCAGCATTGCAAATTACTATATTTTTTAAAAGATACCAAGTATAATACCCATATCTTCTAAAATTTCTCCAACTATGAATTTACTAGAAAAAGTTACTTGGAGAAAAATAATTTTATTATGCACTACTGAGCATGTATCATTTACATGGTAATATGGACAGGGATACAATTTTAATAACAACTTCTCTCAACTCACCTTTTGTTGCATTGAAAATGCTGTACTGAATAGTACCTGCTTGTTCCTAGCAAACACAAAATGATGCTGTATTCCATTGCAAAATAAGTAATAACTTTTTTTTTTCTTCTGTAACTCTTATAAATGTAGAAGAATAAAAAAGTTACTATAAAAAAGAAGAAACAATGAAGTTATTTAACCTGGAGAATGCTTTTAGCTCATTGAAACCATATGCCTCGGTACTGTTACATTTCAGAAATGCCAAAGACTCTCCAGTCAAGTCTGTGTGCTGCTGCTGAGAACTTTCTGCGCTTTGTCTCCAAATTCTCTACTCCTTTCCATGAATTTCTGTAGCGCTATGGCTTCTGACTGTGCTAAGAGCCATGAAAGAGAGAACACAGTTAAGTAGTGAGGACATAAAGTAGCATGGGATGCACTCTTCCTGTGTCTTAAAAACATGTTTCTAACACCACGTCTTATTTATTCCTTCTTACCAATGTGGATCTAGGTTAGGAAGTGCCATGCAGCTCACTGTATCCTGAAGAACTCAAAAAATCTTATGGTGTGTTTGTTATGTAATTCTGGACAATGGAAGAAATTGCTGTACTGCTGCATTGATACCAGCTCTTGTCTTTTACTCTCAGGAAAACTAGAGATTAAAATGCTCATCTGTGTTTTAATGAGCAAAGCTAAACTTCTGAACTTCAGGTCTCTGTGGCTCAGATCATTCAGAAGCTGTTGCAAGTCGGAAACGCTACTGAGATACCATATTTTGTAATACTTTGACTTGTCTCGTGAAATAGAAGTAGTCTATAGAAGTAGTAGTTAGTCTTCAATTGCCTCCTTAGTTGCTCTTTATTTCTGTGTATTCTGTTACAATTTTTTAAAATCTGCTGATGTTTCTCCTGCATCTGCTGAGACAAGTCAAGGAGAAAGAAGCCGGGTTGACATCCTAAGGAAAGAGTTATTTTGGGTATGTGGTCACATATGAATGCGAAATATGTTTCTCGTGACCTTTGTTTTTCACATCAATCTTGAGTTAGAAGAACTGTGACAAGCAGAGGACTTCTGCTCATACTGCCACATCCTTGCAGTGTTGAAGAAAGGTTAGGAAATGGAAGAGTTTCTCCACCGTTTCTTCTTGGTTTTGACTTCTTAAATTTTAGGAAGCACATCTTTGTATCCTCGGCTGCCTGGTTAATTATGTTCTGTGAAAAGGAAGTGTTGTTTGTTAAACTATTTTAGTTTGATCTCATTGGAGAGTTCACATTTCTTTTCCCTGTGGACTCAGAATCCTTTCTTAGGGAAGTATGATGAGCATGGAGGAGCATGGTTTAAGAATGCTGTATCTCAATTGAAATTCAAATGCAGGCGTCTTCCCTATGTGTTTTTGACTAGAGAACGACCTTTCTGTGCTGATCTGTCCTTACTTGACACAACTTAAAAACAAGGCCTATTTCTTCCAACAAACCTAAAACCACACAGATGAGTAGTTGGTTTTGTGTCTCTACGTAGTGGTAACACAGTTTAGCTTTGGGTCATTGAGACTCCCATGTAATACTTCTGAGTGTATTGTATGAGACTGTATTTTTCAGATCTGATCACTGCTGTTCACTGCATTCAGTCTCATTTAGTAACACAGAGCTGCCACTAACACCAGTTTCGTAAGTGGTCCTCTGAACATCTTCCATACTTCAAAGTACCCTGGAAATTATTGGTTACCCTGCAGCTGTAATGGCTTTTCCAGTAAGTTTGTTGACCTGTATTTTCTAGAGACATATATTTTCCAGTAGTAACTGGGCCAAGGAATCTGATGGTACGTCAGTTGTTAAGTGGGACTCTAGGAAGGAATATCCCAACAAAATGCATTGCAAAGAAGCATTTAATTTTTCTGAAATTTGACATCTGAAACAGTCATCACCGGTCCTCCTTGTACAAAAGCAGGTTGCTTCTAAATAATGGTGAGTAGAAGGTTGGATTGCATTGAAAGGATCTTCCACTTTACAAATTTTCGTAGGAAATTGCAGACCTTTGTACTCTCATTTTTCTTGCCATACTGTTACGAGCACACAAATACCTGTATTTATATGTATATACACACACATATCTGTCTACATACTGCTGGTCAAAGAGGGGTTCGTTCTTCAGCATCTTTTAAGTTGCTAGATAGAAACAGTTTTTGGTTATTTAAAAGACAGCTGTTTCTCCTATAATACAATACCAAGATGCCTGTGAATTCTCAAGAGCTTTTAAAATCTTTTCAGTAGATATTCCCAGTCATGGGAGTGATTGAACCCAGATTTGACTGTCCACTTATTTCCTGTGTTTACTCACATCAGAATGAACATTTGTCATATGTAGTCAAAACAGGGCACGTATCCATATAGTGTGTGTAAGTGATGGCAAATTATTTTGAACTCTTAACTTTGGAGTTTGAAAAATATCTTGATCGTCTAACTAGATTGAGGTATGGAAAATGGGAAGTGTCATAGAACAAAATTGTCCAGAATATTACATATTTGTATATTTACAGATATTTGTGTGCTTGTAACAGTATGGCAAGCAAATGAGAATACAGAAATTACAAACCTTAGAATTTTTTGGATTTATTCTTCTTCATAATTATAAGGACACTGGTTCCAGTGTTTCTCACATTTTTGTCTCTTTATTTCTGATTCTTCATCTCTTAATCTCTGCATTCTGAGAATGAACAAAGCTGGTGTGTTCTGAAGAGCACTGGACTGTTAGCAGACTTCTTGTCTGTGTTGCTGCAATCTTACAAGGATCTTTTCTCTGAAGGCTCCAATTGCTTTGTTAAGTCCAAGGTTTGTTAGATGGCTATCGTACTCCTCAGCATTACTCGTTACTGTAAATATGTATTAGCTGACCTGTTCAGAAATCTCCTGCAGGAGATACAGGCAGAAC